CTGCCCCAGCCGCTGCCCGCTGTCACACACGCCAGGTCCCTGACAAAGGTGTACTTTGTTTCCTCCGTGGGCGCGAAAGGCTCTCGGAGTCGGATGGAACCCGACGCTGCCGGCGGCAGCCACGCAGCCCGAGCGCCGCCCGGTGGCCCTGAGATGCAGGGGACGTCTACGCGAACGGCGCCCTCCGCCTCCCTTCCAACCCTGGTGCAGGGGACTCAGGATGTCTGGGCGTGGGTAGCAGCTTTCTCTGTTAATAAACTGCCTTCCAGCACACCGGGCCCACAAATTAACGATTCTCGTTACAACCAAACTCATTCCGATTAAGTAATAAAAAGGCAGACGGAGTCGGCCGAGTCTGCTGTGTGCGCAGCGTTAATGAGTAACAGGCCCGAGTTGAAAAGCGTTTTCAAATTCCGGGCTTATTTATCTTGAGGCTCTTCGTTTCTTCCACTGTTGTGCTCAGACCGTCAGACTCCAGATCTGACCTCAGCCCCTCTCCCTTGCTTCCTCGGGAGGCCCCACTCTGGGAAATGGGTTTTCTTGGGCCATCCGGGCCGGCAACCCGCCGGGCTGGGGGCGGGGCAGGCTGGCCCCAAGAAACAATGAGGCCTTTGCCTCCTCTGCGTCCTGCGGGCCGGGCCGGATATCCGTTCAGAAGCCGGCTCTGGGCCTTCTCTGTCCAAAAGAAGGAAACCTTCTGCCCTAGGGCTGCCAGGAAGTAGCAGGGAGGTGCCTAGAAAAATGGAGAACAATTTTTATACTTTGGAGAATATAAAGAAATTAATAAACTTTCCAGGCCTTAGAAACAGGAATGGTCGCCAATTGTTAGCAACCCAGGATTGTCTTCTTTCCTGTCGGAATGTCCCTACTCCACCACTGTCTAGTCAGTCTGGGTTGGGGGTCAGTGCATCTCCCTGCGCCTCACTTATCTTGACTGCAAAGCTGTGGCAGTAACAGTTGACCTGTCAGAAGACAGAGCTAAGCAAGCTTAGGGACCCTCCACTCCAGGAACCACGGCTCTAAGCAACCCAGTCTTCGTCCTTGCTACATATCCATGTTCCCCTAGCCCTAACTTAAAATGAAAGGGTCTCTCTCAGAGACAGACTCTTAAAGCTAGCAGCATCTTAGAGCCAAACAACTACAATAGTCATTTGCAATCAGCCTAGGTTTAATGCAGCCCAAAATTTATTTGATATTAAAATTTAAACAAAACTAAATTTGAATGCGTTAGATGGCTTGAGCTCTATTAACTTCTCAAACTTTTGTGTCCATAGGAATCACCTGAGGATCTTGTTAAAATTCTGTTTTTCCTAGGTTGGGAGTGCATCATGAGATTTTGTTGTCTCTTTAAAAAAAATTGATTTTATTTATTATTACTATTTTTTAGAAGTTTTTGCTATAGGGCGCGTGCGCTCACCAGACAGACAGAGAGAGACAGAGAGATAGAAAGCCAGAAATCAACCCCCAGGGGGAATGGTCACGCCGCAATCCCTTCTCCTCCATTCTCCTCTCAGGATCTT